GTCGGTAGCTAGGAGAAATATTTTTTTTTTCAATTTCAGAAATATTTTTTTTTTTAAATTTCAGAAATATTGTTACTTGTTATTTTCCGGGCGTCATGGGTTTCTGATTGTTAACAACAACTGCAGTCCGAATTTATTTCCAGTTGTTATTTATTTTCATACCCTATTAGTTTTAAAGCTTTAATATACATGGCATAAAAAAATGCAGTTTTTGAATTGGCATAAAGCTATTTTCTTATGCACAAATCCAAGCATGTCCTTTCATCTACATTGTACCTTGAAATTTCTAATTTAAAACTGGTATAACTGATTCATCAGTATATTTTCGCCATAACACACATTACCACGGAGAGTCATGCCATCAACTTCTGTTACGCAGAGTTTACCGCGTTCGACAGCCATGCTTGGATTTGTGATACGCATATTCAACATCAAATAGACGCTTTCACATGAAAACTGTTTGATCAATCAAGCGTTTACATAATTCTTTCCTATTTTTTATAATACTCAAACGTACAGACACCTAAATCCGAATATATAGAAGAAAAAAAAATACCATCTGTATCAACTGAAAAAAATTCTGCGGACCGCAGGGGTCCGCAGCGATTTACCTGAGTCGGCCGGCAACGCCAAACAAAGCTAATTTTATTTTTGGCCGTAAGCAGGGAGGGATCTTTTTTTTGTGCCAACACCTGACCTACTGCGACAAGGGGCCACGGTTTATACTGTATTATCCCAAGGACAGGTCTCCACATCCCACAGTGGGATTCAAACGACGTAAGGATCAACTCTTTACTTTGCGACTCTAGAGCAGACGCTCTAACCACTGTGCCATGCGGGCAAATTTGAACAGATAGAAAAATTAACCAAAATCCCTAAACTATGTTCTATAAACAGGGAACACACTCTGTAAAATGAGAAATATGGTCATGTTATTGTAGTGATCTGAATTTTATTTTATGCAGAGAGATGGCAAAATATATGAACATCTTATTCTTGTGAAATAGATTTAAATTGCTACAAACATTTAATGCACAAAAAGTTAATTCACGGAGACAAGATAGGTTAAACTTTACTGAAAAAAGTATATTAAAAAAATTACCCACGCAAAAGTGATGCAGCGTCAATATCATAAATATGACGGTTAGTACCCATCGGACAATGACAAAACTCCTCCTCTATAATCAGCTGATAATAACATCTCGGATTCAAGAGAAATCTGTTAACAAATCAAGGCAAAAGATGATTACGAAACTATTTCATTCGTTTTAGAATAAAACACTTCATTTCCCCGGGTAACACGAATCACCGGAATGCCCCGTAATCACCGAAATGCCCTTACAAATCACCGAAATGCCCAACAAAATCACCGAAATGCCCATATATGTGTTTTTACATGATGTTTTCCATAAAAAATAATGCTTAATTTTTTCATTAAAGCATAACTGATCGCAAAATTAATTATTTTCAGGTTTTGTGCTCGAAGAGTTCAAAGGGCGATAACTCGTATTTGGTGATAATCTTCTAGGAAGCTAGGGAAGTGAGATCTATGTATCTAAGAAAATAATAATGATATTTCTCAGAAAAATTATGAAAATGATTGTGACCGTTATCATTTCATGACCTTTAATTAAGAATTTAATGTTAAAATAGGTTAGTATAGGTTTCTGGTCTTAATTTTAATAGTGAAGTGCACATACTATTATTTCAGTTACCTATACCTATATATACCCCCTCAAAATAAACAAGAAACGGATGACACTCTCTGACTTGTTTACCTGTACTTCGATCGAAATTTTCCTGGTGGACGCTCGCACCCAAGTTTTTATGACATGAAATTCATCCATCGTAAGTCGGAAAATCCCTCCGCTTTGTAAAACTATTTAATTTTCCCCCGAAAGCTTTGTGTTAACCAGAAACATGCTGAACTCAATACAAAGCACCATGTGCGAAGAACCCGGAAGTGAAAATTATCGTAAAATCTCGCGAGTCACGTGAAGAGACTAACAGACTCTGGACCGAATTTTCTCAGCTTTTGAAATAATGAATAAAAAGCTTATCTCCGGTAAAGGGAGAAATCATTTCAAATGGAATTTAAATAAAAATAATGAAGAGAGATATCTCTTTGCAATGGAGAGATATCTCTTTTTGCATAAGAGATATCTCTTGTAGGCACTTTTGGAAGATATCTCTTTTACTTTGAGAGATATCTCTTGAGATAAACTTAGAGAGAGATATCTCTTTTACTTTAAGAGATATCTCTTTAACTTGGAAAGATATCTTTCTAGGTGAAAGATATATCTCTCTAAGTGAAAAAGATATCTCTCAAGGTAAAAGAGATATCTCTCTAGGTGAAAGAGATATCTCTTTAACGTTCAGAGATATCTCTTTTCAAGAAAGAGATATCTCTCAAGGAGAAAGAGATATCTGTTCAAGCGGAAGAGATATCTCTCTTTTAAAGAGAGATATCTCTCTAAGTATAAGAGATATCTCTCTAACTTTAAGAGATATCTCTTTCTTATAGAGATATCTCTAAAAAATAAGAGATATCTCTTTAAGTTGAGAGATATCTCTATTTTTAAAGAGATATCTCTCAAAAATGAGAGATATCTCTGTAGTTTTAAGATAAAATTTATTTTCCGAATAAATAGTAAAAGGGCTTGCCATAGATATGATATATGTTTAGTACCCTTTGAGGATTACAGTACCAGGATAAACTCCTTGAGTTTGTGTCCCTTATAGACTCAAAGGAGTGACACCTTTTAATACTTGGCAACGCGCCTGCCAGTATCATTTAGCTATCTGTTTACTCATGAAAGAACGGGTACCAATTGCAAAGGACAAGTATCATTGGGGTTAGTCTGTGCACCAGCAGAGATACATGTTCGTGGTTAAAATAAAGCATATGGAGTAACAAACAGTACTCAAGATCAAAAGTCCATAAAACAATACAATACAAAACAAAATAGGAGCATAGCAAACACGGACCTCCAAGACATCATTTGTGGGATCAGGTACCATGGAGGAGTAAGCATCCCTTGCCGACCTGTCAAACCGGCCATGTGGGATAAGAATTTTCCTTCTCATTACTTCCGAAACCACATAAAAATCCTTACAAACAAAGATACAAAGCGCTTTATATATAAAACATTTTCAATCAAGACTCTTTTCTCCTTACTAATAAACAATAGTTTAGGAGAAACTTCAAGAGTACTGTGAAACAGTAACAGTATATTCAAGAAGTGGTGTAAATCAGATGTGGATACTTAAGAATTCAAAGAAACTTTTGGACATTTTTAAAGATTTTATTAACACCAATAGCTTGAAAAATTATAAACTTACGACTTTTCAACTTTATATAAAACCATTCCCCATGATGAATCAAAGTTCAGGGTTTTTTTTTTTCAATATAAGTGACAGCTGTTTTTACAATAAAAACGGAACTCGTCAATTTATTTACTTTTTTATTGGTCATTTGCAAAATTAAAAAAAAAACATTCTGATTGTACACAGAAGTACACACGAGTACTCTGAAGTTTATATCAAAAAGATGCTTGAGTTTCTGAGTGACAATATCTTTGTTGGTTTTTAGAGACCAGATCTTCAAACAATCTATTGGAATGTCCATGGGTACCATTTGCAACCTGTTATTAGCAGAGCTATTTTTGTTTTCATATGAAGCAAAATTTGTGCGAAATTTGATGCGTGATAAGAAGAAAACACCTGTTGTGGCTTTCAACTCGACATTTTGACGTATTGTCAATTAACAATTGTAATTTCCATTCTTATGTCGATACCATATATCCTAGTTTGAGATATAAGATATCACAGACCTTGACAGCCAAGCTCTATGATAAACGTGATCATTTTAACTTTTCAATCGTCAACTTCCCTTACTTATGCAGCATTATACCTTCATCACTTGCAAACGGAGTTTATATATCTCATTTGATTTGATACTCTATAGCATGCTCTACGTATTAACAATTTCTAAAACGAGGTAGATTATTGACAAACAAGTGAATGAAACAAGCTTGAAAATATCAGCAGTCTCATTTAAAGTCATCATTTCGTTAGTTCTATGGTCGATACAATGCCTTTGTCAGCAAATACAATTTATCATTGATTCAAATGCTGACGGACGTTTTGCATACTAATTGTTAGTCCATGTTTCTTGAGGTTTAAGTTGATTTTAATGCTGGGACTTTTAGAATTACAGTGGGTAACAATTCATCATCATTGGAGCGTTAAAAATTATGTTGAAATCTGGAGAAAGCAAAGTCATTGTGGAAAACTTTCTGACCGATGAGCCTCTTTTTTTTTAACCAATTTTATTGTAATTTGCAGGTATTTGATTTATGAAGCTATAATTTAAACAATTAATAAAGTTTTGTAGTAAGTGTTTTTCTTTCTTAGCTAATGTTATGATGACTTCAAACAGCAAAAATTACTACCCTGAATTTCATCCCAAAAGTAGACGTTAATTAAAAAAAATCACTTTTGTCACCTCATAAACCGTATTCATCCTTGGAAGGATTGATTGATTGTATGTTGTTAAACGTCCCTCTCGACAATTTTTCACTCATATGGAGACGCCACCACTTTCTGGTGGAGAGCTATAACTTTTGTCCTATTCTCGGCACTCAGGGTCACGGAGGGATCTTCTTCGTGCCAGCATTTAATGCGACACGGGGCCTCGGGTTATACGATCTCATCCGAAGAACCGGTATTCACGTCCTACAGTGGGATTCAAACCCGTGACGTATGAATAAAATTCTTACTTCGCAAGTCTAGAGCAGACTCTCAAACCATCGCACCACGCGGGCGACGAAGGAAAAGAGTGTCCAATATATTTTATTAACATAGTCTTGAAAGGTATACACAAATTCAAACCAAAGTATCGACCTTTTAAATACGAAAGAATGAGCAATTTTACTTCAAATCATTCATGATGTATGGTATTCAGCTTGGTATAAAATATTGAGCACGGTTTTACACACCTGTAAGACAATATTGTCCGATATATGCTGGTTTACATCGACAGACGCCAGGCTGAATGCATGTTCCTCTGTTCTCTCCCCCACAGTCATACGGACAGATAGCTTTTAAAGTGAAAGAAATGAAGATAAATGTTTGCAACCTAAACGTTATACAACAAACAAGGTAGAATTTGTTGATTTGATATATGAAATCGGGAAATACGTGCCTTTATTACAGTTCTGGTCTCCATTATGTCTCCAACCAGAGCAACAGAAGTATTCCGTTTCATAGTATTCCTCAGTTATCCAGCCCCAGGCGCAGCAGCTGTTTTAAAAGATTTTTCTTGAAAGAGTTACGAAACATCGATAAATAGCTATCCTTAAACCAGATAAAGGTATGATTACAAATCAATCGTATAACTTAGATTTTATGGGTGGAAAGCTGGTCAATTTGAAAAATTGGAACACAAGTGAAGAAAAATTCTTGAACAAAAGTTTTAAAAGCTTTTCAATTGTGAAAATCAACCTTATGTTTTCACTCCCCATACAATCTAAATATCACGTGATTGTTCTCAAAGGATTTCTACGCCGATATTCATGCGTTTTTGAGGGCGCAGAGAATCAATTTTAGCACAAGACATTAGATAAGTGGTAAGAAAGCTTGTAATGTGAATATCTAATAAACGGGCATAGTCAACAATATTTATGAGTGAAAAAATATTACATGTAATTACGGACCATATAACTTGATACACACATACACTACTCGCCCTTTCCCTCACAAATACACACACATAATGAACTTACCCCTGCCAGGTTCTGTATCTGCATCTCCAGACCCTGCGACATTTCAATCTGGATCGGGAACATACTTTGATTCTGTAATGATAAAATAAAAAAAAATGTTTAAAAAAAAACAACAGCAAAGAACTAAACAAATAAAATATTTACTCACAGTGTGAATTTGGGTTAATATCCTTATGTATGAAAGATTCTGTACGATATGAAATCTAGGTAAAGCATTTAAATATCAATTTTTAATTAAATTAGAAGGATAATTTTTTATCCTGTCTAAGGATTTTTTTTTACTTTATTTCTTTTGAAATATTTAAATTGCAAAACACAGTCACGCATTGGACGATCACGTTGCCCTCGGGGAATATGATATTTCATGGGCGAAGAAATCTTCATGTCTCCCTCACTATCATGCAATAAATGTATATAATATCAAAAAAATAATGAATTTAGTTACTTAATCATTAAAAGTGAATGCGATGATGTTTTTGGAGGAATACAATGTTGTCAATTTATAGTGCTTTATTAGATTTCCGTTTATAACTAATTATTCGCGATCGTAATTCAAGTTTGTAAGTAGACCAAAAGGTTTAGAAAGTCGTGGAAAGTGGTGCCTGCATATTTTCCCTATCAAGTCTAGGAGAGTACCCCGTAGGGGATTGAGGAAGAAGATTGGATAATAGAAATTCGGCGCATTTAGCAAATTGACAACCTCATTAACAAGTTTTTATAAGAATCTTTCTGTCATTAAAAATGACTACTGCAAATATATGAGATACGGTGTCGCATAATATTTGGTCCGCCTCGTTTAAAGGTCCGGCCGGACCAAATTCGATAACATATTTGGTCCGCCTTTTATAAGAAATGGTCCGGCCCGTATAAGGAATGGTCCGCCTACGTTTTATGGTCCGGGTGGTGAAAAAACAAATTAATTTTGACTTAAACATATGAAATTAAAGCGATTTTGTTTAAACTATATAATGAAAGAATGGTTTACCCTGTTGTGTTTTATGTTTTGTACAACATATCTCTAGGACAAGAATCTACTCCTCGTTCAGTTTGCTTTAAGCATTGCTGTTTATCTGATACCATGATTAAAAATAAAATAATGGCACAATTATTGTGCAAGTGTTTGTTTTTCTCTAGAATATGCCTTGTGTAAATTAGTTCGATTAAAGGTCCTTGTGTAAATTAGTTCGATTAAAGGTGTGAAATCTGTCAGTGTGTATAGCTAATAAAACAATGGGGGTGTGACGTATTTGTTTACCTGACAGGTACCTGCAGGTAGAGCCTGCGGCAGATGGCGCTGTAATTGAATGGTTTGAGAACTTAATGGTCATGACTTACCTTGACATATCAATAAGTTTGGATTTTTTTTTTATTCATAAATAATGTCAAGGAAATATTCATGCGTACACTTCAAACCTGTGACATTTATAATAATCATAATTATATATTGCCTTTTTTGAATCAAAGCTAATTAAATGTGGCGTATCTGAGCTAAAAAATAAGAATGCGAAATGAATTAATGATCGTAGATATATATGAGATTTGAAATAAAATTTCAATTCGATCATGAACTTAAACATCCCCTTGTTTCTATAGTTAAATTGACTTTTAACTGTGTCTGATATTTAAATACCGAGTCGATAAAAATCCTTCATTGTTTTTAATCTCTGATGCCTATAAAACGCGATTGATTATCATTAAGATGTATAATTTTCATTATCCTCTCATTATTATTTATTATATTATTTATTTCATTATGC